TGCCGCTGTGTCCAGGTCCCGCCCACCCTCTGCCGCTGTGTCCAGGTCCCAGCCCACCCCTCTGCCGACTGTGTCCAGGTCCCGCCCACCCTCCTGAGCGCTGTGTCCAGGTCCCGCCCACCCCTCTGCCGCTGTGTCCAGGTCCCGCCCACCCCTCTGCCACTGTGTCCAAGGTCCCGCCCACCCTCTGCCGCTGTGTCCAGGTCCCGCCACACCCCTCTGCCGCTGTGTCCAGGTCCGCCCAACCCTCTGCCGCTGTGTCCAGGTCCCGCCCCACCCCTCTGCCGCTGTGTCAGGTCCCGCCCACCCCCTCTGCCGCTGTGTCCAGGTCCCGCCACCCCTCTGCCGCTGTGTCCAGGTCGCGCCCACCCCTCTGCCGCTGTGTCCAGGTCCACGCCCACCCCTCTGCCGCTGCTGTCCAGGTCGCGCCCACCCCTCTGCGCTGTGTCCAGGTCCGCGCCCAACCCTCTGCCGCTGTGTCAGGTCCGCGCCCCACCCCTCTGCCGCCGTTAGTGGTGTTCGCCACGCTGTGGATGCGTATTGGCCATCACCCTGGCGGACCACGCCGTGCCCAGCCGGCCATGGTCGATCGGGTTCGCATTTGGCCGCCCGTGCTGAAGCAGCGGCCAGGGTTCTGCTCCGACTGTCGATACTGTGACTAGCACCGCGCACCCACGGATGCTGGGGAGCTGAACTCGCAAACATGACGTCTTCACAATATTGTTTAACTTATCAGTGTGTTTTTCATGTGATTTAGTCAGATGTTGCTGTTTTCTGCTCTAAAAGTATGCATTTATACATGGCTGGTACTCGTTTTGAAACAGGTGGCCTGTTTGCTCTGCGCGCTCTGTCATATTCCATCATGTTGTCTTTTTACTACAAGCCTGCTTATCTTTGGCTGCTGGTCGTGACCATTGTGCTTGAAACAAGCGTCTGCTGACTGCCCATATTTCAAACGCTTCCACGCGGAAAAGAAGTGCCTTATGCGAACGCGGGCGCACGTGCGTCTCTTGGCATCACAACGTCTGCAATATCGTAACGCCTTTATCTAGTGCCTAACATGCCGTTGTTGGTCAGCCCCTGTATGTGTGTTGAGTCAGGACATGTAGTACCTGCGCGAGCCGGGGCTGACCGCCTCCCCCGTAGTTTGTGAGCTCGGTGACGTTGCGGTGCGCCGCGCCGCCGGTCGTGCGTGGTGTGCGCCGTGCGATGTGATCTTGAAACCCCGTCAACTCAATGCAACACACGCAGCACTGTTCACCGCTGTTGACGGATGGCGGTGACGTGTTTCAATACAGCTTCTGTGCATGTATGTCGGCCGCATTTTCCCGCACGATCGGGTAGCTGAACGTGCGCCGAGCACGGCCGCTGCGCTCTGGCCGGTAGATCGGCACCGGCGGAGTCCATTCCGGTCACGCGGAAAGCCCGCCACCCCAAGCACGCAGCCCGGCATGTGAGGCGGCTGCGCCCCGGCCCCGGAATAGCGGCCAGCGGCGGGGGTGGCCGCGCCGACGGGCTCAGCCAATGGGCGGCCGCGAGACACCGGCGCTGTCACGCCGACCGCTCCAGAATAGCCCGGGGCCCGCTGTCGGATGGTCGCTGCCGTCCCCCCGGCGGGCCTCTGTTGGCACCGTGGCCGTCGCCGCGGTCTCGCAGTGTTAGAGTGCGGGGGTTGCCGCAGGCGCTAGCTGCGTGTCGGCGTCACAGCGTGCATAGTAGTAGACTAGTCGGTTCTGATCCAGTTCATGAGTACGAATTTCTCAACCGTCGAAATGACGCTCTTGAATGAAGGCGATGCCCTCATTCGGTTGGATGCATTCACCGATGGCCGAAGTTCTGCACGTCACTGTATGTCAGCTGCCCGCTAGTGGACCACTTCCACCCATATATGGCGTGGCGCGAGGTTCGACAGCGCGCAGCGCGCGGCCGCCAGTGCGTGCAACAGCGAGCACACTACGAGTCTCCGTCCCGGCCCTCCACTGTGCGTTCTGGCATGATCTCTGATGTTTGATCTCTGCCCCTTAATCACCACACAGCACACGACTGATGGGAGTGCGGACATTAAAACAGCACGAGGAAAGTGCATTGTCACGAGTCGGGCAGGGTCCATCAGGTGCGTGGGTGAGGGGGGGGGGGGACGCGGCACGGATTAAACGGACATCTGGCGAGACACACTGGGGCAAGCGAGCGGCGCAGTTCTAGTCGCCGGGGAGCGACATAGACGTGAGTCGCCACGGAGCGACACAGACGTGAGTATTCCAAGACGCCGGCGAGAGGAGCGCAGTGTATGCGAGGGGCCCACCAGCAGACCAGACACGGCGGTCGGCCGCTACAAAAAGTCGCCCCGACGCTAGTAAAAACTGGCCGGCGCCAAAAATGAGCCCGGCTTCTCATGGTCTGCCGAGCACGAAGGGTAGATTTCTTCGCGGCGTGAAGCTGTGCTGGCTGGTGGAGCCGTAGACAAAGGCCGGAGCATGGTAGGGGCTTTGTCGAGTTCAAGGGCGACTCATCTCGTCAGCTTCATGGTCGCGGCGTAGGATCTCTACACGAAAAAGGACGTGCCGTGGACGGGGTCTAAAAAACCAACATATGGAGATAACCCGCTCGTTTTCCGAAACGCCTCGACCGATCGCCTTGAGGCCTTCGCCAATCAGTCCTGTGTCATGAGGTAATAATGGGGTGGCAATATCAAGACGTGACCTGGGGTCAAAACCCTTCAAAGACGCGAAGGCAAAGTTTCGCTGTGCAAAAGTAGGCAACTGAGATTTCAGAACCCACTTCACCGATCGCTGTGAAAACTTCACTATTGGATGTGCCATACCTCATTGTCGAAAAATGTGGTGACCCTTGGTCAAGGCAAAAGCCATAAAATTTACGAATTAGTAAAATTATTAGTCGCAGACAACTCAGTTTTCAAAACCAACCACTCCAGTTGATACGAAATTTTATCATTCAGTACGCCGCACTCGATTTCCCTTTAAACCGTAAATATGGTACCATTTACAATTATGCCATGCCTTTTTATGCTTAATCCTAGCAACACGTGTAGCTTGGGTAGACTGGCCTTATGAGGTCAGGGATGTGATTTGTTGTTTGAATTTGTCGTCAGCAAATGTGTTCTACTGAGTCACGTTCTGAGTTGTGCACGGTGTCGCCGCGATTACAAGAACTGTGGCCGTGGTGATGCAGGGGATGGTCAATGTGTGTGGTGTCCCAAATACCGTTCTGTTGTGATTATATCCAAGCCTTCTCAGCATCCTTTTGTTGGTTGCTGGCTCCAAATCGGGCAGAAGTCCGCCGAATCGATATGAGCCTGGGCCACGGCTGTGATGGATGCCGTAGATCTGAGGCGCCCGGCTGTGAAGGCAGGCTCGGTGGATCTGGCCGAAGCGGACCGGCCTGGTCAGTCTCCTGCTGTGAAAGATCATTGACCTCAGAATCCTTCCTGGGTACTTGCTTTCTGCACTCTGTGTGTAGCTTGACACCGAGGTACAAGTCCCAGCAGCAAACGGTGGCAAAAACGACGGAAAAGACGTCACTGCTTTGGTCAACGGGTCCTTGAGCTTCACCATGCGTGCCGTGGGCGGCCGTGCCTGATTACATGCTAACGCATGACGTGCGATTACTTATTACGTGCGTTATTACAGAATATTACGTTATTACCTGATTACGTGCGTGATTACAAAGATTAACGCCTGTCAAAAATGTGCCGAAAATTGAATATGTCTTGTACCGGGTACTTCGTGTGTCTTGTCATCAAAAAGAAGACGATTACCCAGCATTTGCTCACAATATGCATAAATATTTCTGTTGTAATGTTCCGACCGCAAAAAGGCCCACGGCCCTGGCACAACAGAAAACGATAGCGTGTAGCTTCATGGCATGCATCGCAACCGCTAGGTATGTCCTATCGGATGGTGAAGGTTTGGAGACTATCGGAGCAATCAGTTCTAAATCAATAATCTGCTTGCAATAATTTTGGAACCTGTGAATTTGATGACTTGACCTGACCTAGGGTCGCCAGATTTTCAACTGCAAGAGGCAATCAGATAAGGAATATGTGGTGTTCAACGTTTCGCAATGATCGGTTCAGCAGGTTCCGAGAGCTGAGTTGTCTGCAAGCGATAATTTTGTAGGTTGTGAAATCTGATGACTTTTGACCTGACCTAAGGTTACCAAATTTAAAATTTTACGAGGAAGTCAGGGATGGCGTACCAAAGGTGAAGTTTTCGCAACTAACGGCACAGTAGGTTCCGATGTCTGAAACTGTCTGCTTATGCATGCGAATTTTCCCTTCGCGTTTTTGAGGTGTTTGACCCTGGGTCAGATCTTGATATTGCTGCCGCATTACTGATTTGGTCGGTGAAGGTCTCAAGGCGATCGGACAAGCCGTCTAGGAGAAGGAGCGTGTCTCCTTCATATGTCGGTTTTCTAGACTCTGCACATGCTATGGACTTGAATCTCTCAATGCTGTATGCAGGCATCATGCATGCCATAATCGCTTCGATCGGGTGGCCGACTCATTCCGGCCCCTCGGGTAAAACAAAGGGTAGTACGCAACAGCAGCTTCGTTTTTGCGACCCGCAGCGAATGGTCGGGTCACCTTGTAGTGCTGGACAGCGCGCGCTTCACTCCCCAGTCGTGTCCACCGGTCAGCGAAAGGCTCGGCTTGAGACAGTGTTCCAAATGGGGGACAAGTCAAGATGTGGACGAAGGACTGACACTGGATGAAATGCCTCCGCAGCTGAATCCCCGAGGCCAGGTTGAAGCGCGGACTACCCCAAGCTGCTTTGTGTTCCGGCCACGCGATTCACTAAAATGCCCCCACTGCGGGATGTTTTTTTTTCTATAAAAAACGAAGCATCACTATCTGGACACTGTCCGGCTGATCGACGCTGTAAGTGGAGCCTTACTGAGGCCATCACTGAGGTGAGAGTGCTCTGCCCATCTGGCCAGAATACGCAGCGCTACAACGCGACGTGTGTTTAGCGAGTAGGATGTTTTTAAGCTTACGCATCAAAATATGTTTATTTACCAACACACGCATGTACATTTTGTGCGCACTCACGTTAAGAGGACTGTGTCCAATGCCACGTGCGAACGCACCGCATCCCTGAGCCATATGTGAGTTGCCATTGCCAAACACGCACCACGTCACAGACAGATATAAAGCAGTACATATGATCGGGGCTCAATGGTCGATGACAATACATGGCTTCGAACGCTTAAATGGGCATCAAAACAGTCCACAGATCGCTTGGCAAGTAGACGGCAGTTGCACAAACTGAACCTCTACAATCTGGCGGTCAACCGGTTCTGCACCTCAGCCGCCCCCCTCAGTCATGCGCCACCTCCCAGTCCTCACAGCGCTAAGTACAAACGGGTCGGAGCGCGCGCCGCCGAGTGGCCCCAGTTGCTCCAGTGAGGCCCCGCGGCGGCGGCGGCTCCAGTCACCCCGGCGTTCCACGCCGCGGCTCGCCAGCCGTGCCAGCATCGCTGTGGCGGCGCCGGGACTCAGCCGACTCGAACTACAACTCGCGCGAGTCGAGTCACGAAGCACCGGCATGGCTTCCTCTAACACGCGAGTCGCAGCCCCTGAGGACGCGCTGCGACGGCGCGTTCCAGGGCCGGCGGAAGCCAAGGCCGAGACCGGTCTCCGTGCTTGCCTCGGCGCCGAGGCAAGCACCGAGTATCGGGAGCCCGAGGCGGCGGCCCGGCCCCGCGGCTCTGCGGCTCTCCACGGACGCGGACTCGCCTCTGGGGGCCCGAGCGAGGCTCGAGCGGAGAGGCGACGCGCCCGCCGCCGCCTCTACATGGAGGAGCGCTGCTTGCGGGGATCCTCCCGAAAGCGCTTGTTGACGACGCGGTACTGACGCATCATGTAGAGCGTCTCCAGCTCCCTGGCGATGTTGTCACACTTGCCGAGCAGCTCCTGGATCTGCTGCGGGTCCGTCACGCCCTTGTTCTTGTCGAACGCCATCCGCAACTTGTCGCGGAAGTAGTCGTAACCCTTCGGGTAGTTCTTGCCCAGGTACAGCAGCTGCGGAAGAAATGGGTGAAGTCTGAGTAGTTATAGCTCAAATACGTGACGGGTCGGCACCCAAAAACGCAACAGCGGCAGCAGTCAGGGCCCACAGTCCAAGTATGGCAGCAAACGCAAGACAACTGCGAGGAATAGCTTTTGCCCAGGTACAGCAGCTGAGGAAAAGACACTTTCGGCGCGAGTAGTGCACAATTACGGTCCTATACAACTTCAGCCACTGCGGAAACGAGGATGCGAACAGCGACTGCTTCTTCTTAGAACAGTCTCCTAGGTCCATTTTAAACGAGAAACATTGTCTTGTATCTCGCTGTGGCGCGCTCGTCACCTACTAGTTGCTAATGAACTGTCACCGTCCACGGGAGGAGGCCATTATTTCCATCATTTCATGCTACGTGCAGCGTTGGCGCATCCGGCTTCCCGCACCCTATATCCACGTGCTTATTAACGCACAGTTGACGCTGATTACACAGCTGATCCGTAACAGCGTCATTTTTTCACGAGCTAACAGCTTTCCTTCGGTGCTTAAAGAACAAAGCCGGTACCGTTAAGGAATTACACCGAGAAATCGCGTGGTGGGCATATCGTATGGGGCGTGCTTCATGTGCGCGTGCATACACGAAGGCGCTGCGTGCTATCCGGGTTGGATCTGCATTCATCTTTCCGCCAGCAGTTGTTTCCTTCAACCGTGGCCATTCTAAAACGTTTTGGACTTCGCACGGGCCCCGTGGGAGGTGGCTGCGGCACAGTGGCATTCATTTCGGAAGCGTTTTTGTCCATGCGTCAAGGCCATCGACAGGTGTCGACGAGACACTATTTCAGTTGCTCAGGATTTGTTGGAGTTGGACATTCACTACAAAAACCAGAATGCTCCGTTGCTAAGATAATAATAACGCACAAACTTAGGACCGACGCCTTGAAGCAAACAACGAATGGCAACAAAATGGCAAACCTTATAAGCACCACAAGGAAATAAGTCGAGGCGTCGTCCCAGCCCACGTTTTCATGATCGTGAACACAACAGTGCACAAGGTTTGACATTTTGGTCCACATCCGCCGCACGCTTAAACCTAACCAGAGATGGCGCACATTTGCTTACCGTTCCGACGAAGATCTTAAGTCTTACCGCACGAGCCAAACCTAACTTCTCGGCCGCCTTCATTTAAGCGGAGCCCTCGGAATGGGCCAGCTCATCACTGAAGGCATCGGATGGCAGACGACTCAGCCGCGAGTATACACATGAAAACAGGGACCCAGCGGCGCTAGCTCAATGGTGAGAGGGTACAGGCTCTCTTGCTCAAATGTTTACCCCCTCCGCAGACCACCAGATCACACCCGCGCGATCGCTCCAACAGACCCGCGGCGCCAAACCCGTCACAAGCTGGCTTGCCACAGTGTTCCACAAACCCCACCGCGCACTTGTCCTCCACGAGACAGCGGAGGACGAAAGGGCGCAGCTCCGCCAGCCCCGCCCCTCCCCTTCACAGTTCAGCCCGGTATGCGCTGGCGCGTGACCAGCTCCCAGAGTCGTTGACCCCCACTCCGTCCGCCAGTCAACACCCGCACTGTCGAGGTACACCGCTCATACCATGGCTCCGCGGTCTTCCGGGAGACGTGCAAGGTCCTCCTAACTTTGGGAAGTAACACAATGCCATGGCACGAAACGTTTCTCAAGAGCCTCGGTGTCCTCACCCCGAACCAAGATCGGCAGCGGAGCTTCTGGCCCGGGTGCACTCTGCGTGAAAGCTCAGGTGGGTCAGGAGTCCCACGTCCGGGACGGCCGCTGATATGGCTACGAGACAAGAATGTCTCGACAAAACAGACGCGACCACATATATGTACAGCGCAGATTAATTGGGATCCTTGAACATCCACAGCTGTCGATGCACCAGCTATACCGTCAGCACAATAGCAGAACGGAACGGGACGGGGCGGTGAACCTTGTTACCACCGCCGGTTTCAGTAGAACGCAGACGCGACTCCTACAGGGTATCCACCGCCTGTCTGAATCCAACCCTCCGTTGTGGAGCGATCGGGCAGATTGTGAGCGCAGCTGGTTCAAACCGGTTATAACCGCACCAAGCTGGAAAGTCAAGCTCGGCGACACTGAACGCTGGAATATACACAAACGTAACCAGAGATGAGTTTTGTAACCATGTTTTGACAAGCTCCTCACAGCTATGGCAGTGAACACGATACATGTCAGCAGTTTTTTTAGTGATGTTCGTGATGCCTCTTAATACGTGTACCCGGTTTGACTCAATATTCCAGTCCAGGATCCACGCGGTTCATTCTTTGCGATCAAGTATGCGCTGCATGGCCAAGGAGTCTCTGATGCCAGGAGCGGGAACTACTAGAATCATATTTCTAACCGAAACGTGGTCTTGCCAGTCCAGCGCGTGCCGAAATCTGCATGGGGCCAGATATCAAATTGTCTCCGAAATCCTACGAATTTGGACTACATTCCTGCGACATCGCTCTATATCTAATAAAATATCTTGGGGGAAGGGACGGGGCATGATTTCCTTTGCCCCACTCTCATCACGGTCCCTGCTGAAGGTAACATTTCAAGGCTCCAGTTTCATGCAGCTAAGCCTCAACTTGAAACTTTTATCACGCTGTGTGAGCACATAGGCCGGTAGCAGACCTATTCCACAAACATTCCGGTTTTACGCATTGACGAACCGAATGAACCTGTTAAACCTGGTAGTTTGCCACCCAAATGTTTATAAGATATATCAGCTGTGAAGCCTGCTACTGTCAACCGCTGTAAAGTCGTGGCCCCGCTAAATAAATCAGCTGCAGCACAAGTCCAAAGGGGAAAGTTGTGTCGAGTCTATCTTGGTGTCATTCTGACGAACCATCGCGACTTTTTTCGTTTCAAACCTGCGATCAGTTAGGATACAAGAAACGCCATAACACGCACGCCGTTCCTGCTGCACCTCATGAATTTCAAAGCTCCCTGTGAAAACATTGTCACCTACAGTTCAAATATCCAAGCGTCTTCGGAACTGAGGACGTGCAATGCGCTGTCGGATATTACCGGGTCTCCAAAACCGCCTCACATATGTTTCACGCCGGCTAGAGTGGATGCCATTGCAGAAAGACGCGTCAAATGCAAAGCGATTCATGACCGCGAAATTGGCATTATTCCGATCACACTGATTTTGGTAGGGGAAATTCTCAACCGCACTTGACAATAACGGAGCGGGGCCAAGCTCTCCAATCGTTCCCCCCCGCAAATACACGAGTGACACGGCACATACCACAGTCATGCTTGGGCCTCGCACACACGATGACACTACGCATTCGTTCATTCGCGACGATTGATGAAATCCAAAACGGGCCGGCGTCTGCGTTTGGGTATGCGACTAGGAAATCATGGATACGACTTGCCCTAAAAACAAAAGAAAGTTTCATAATATCAACACAGATGGTCTGCTGTAACTTGCAGCAAGGATTATGTGGCATTATTTGAAACCTTTCATGTATCGACGATCAACTTTGCCGTCAGAATTAATGTTGAAGGCTAGGCCGCAAGCAACGTGCAACTATCTGTTCCGCGGTAATTTCTCTGGTTGGGAGAATATTACATCAGAATCGGTATGCAACATATCAGATGTCAACGAACGACATTCACCTAAAATGTTGCTCTGAACATACTAGTTCCTTAACAGACGATTTCTCTAAAGATACTGGCGGCTGGGCGGATTCACATGTACATTTGCATTAACATCCACAATGATTAACCGTGCCGCCGCCACCATGAAACACACCCGACAGGGTCATTCAGGTCAAGGTCGGCGAGGGCCAAAGTCATCCAACGGTGTCAAGACACGGCGAGAAGGTACCACAGCTCAGCAAAATCAAATATGCCCGAAGACAAAAATTCCGCATCGTGTGACAGCAGCGTTGATAAACCTCTCAGTACTAACAACGTTAAATCACAAAACCGATTTGAAACAACACATGTTGTGAACACAACACCACAAAGAAATGCTTTCGAGACAAGCAACGCCAAGGTACGGAACGAACGTGGACAGCGAAGAGGTGGGAGAACGTTCCCCAGATCGCAAGCGGTCGGATAAAACGCGCATGACTCAAAAATTCCTCCAGCGCACCACCATCGTTAAAATAGCAGCAAGGGCTGGCCGTGGACCTTCAATCCTCCTGGCCGGCAGCCAAGCCGCGGCCCCTCCCTCCTGCCGTCATGGAGTAGGCGCCCGCCAAACTCCCGACCACGCCCCCCCCCCCCCCCCCCGCCGCGCAGCAGCACCCGCGGCCTCTGTTCCTACCGCCTCGCACGGGTTTCCCAGACAACCTTGACGCGTGGCGAAGGTCACGCTGCCGGCATCGCATGGCCGCCGCCCACGGCAGACGGAAGCAGAGGGAAGGCTGGGGTCCGACGCAGACACGGAAGCGGCTAGTATACCACTGCAAGGTTAGAATGATGGATACCGGTGATGCAGTGGCTGGCGTCTGAGGTAACCAAAGGTTTGCAGGGGCTCGATTCCCCGCAGTGCTCGCCCTTCATGCGACGGCGCAAGACAGGCCACGCCCAACAGCCCTCCAGCAACTGAGTGCACCGTAAAGCCCCATGGCAACATCACCACTTCATTCACGTGGCGATGAATGTGGCAGCATGACACATTACTTTGGTATTGGCTGGCAACCGGGCCACCTGACCGCCTACCGTGCTTTTAAGCAGTACCGCGGCGTCTTCCTGACCCCAGCAGTGGACACCGAATCGTATGAAACAATTCGCGGCGGGGGCCTTCAGGGAAAATATGTTTATTTGCATATTCCGGCGAAGCCGCATTTCCAGTCCTACTGGTGATGTTCGTACCTACAAACGATGCTTTGTTTAGGGCCCAAAAGCGTGGCGCCGTGGCGTAAGTTGGGCACGGCGTTTGCAAAGCGGGACGTAAGTCAAATAGGCCGTGCCCATGCGGCGATTGAAAGTCACTCAAAACCATTTCAATATGTTCAATTTGGTGCTCAAAAAACAAACCATAAAAGGAAACAAAGCACTTATGAAGACAAACATTAAGAATTTCATGGGCGGGCTTGTTACCACTTGCATTTAAAGTCATTCTGGTTTACAGGTGGCAGGACTTGAACACAGCTGTATGAGCAATGTAACCGCAGGCGAACCAAACCTATAACTGCCCACTTCATTACCACCTAATGATTAATGCAGTCCAGATCCGGCGTGAGGTGGCTCTTCCACCATACGTATCAGAACATAGGGATCACAACAGTGATTACAATGTACCTCGTAGCCGCCACCAGACTGTGTGTTGTGTCATGATTAAGCTTCACATTCGGTGGGCCACGCCAGGCCCTGTCCACCAATTTGCCAATGCGTAATGAAAAACTTGAGCCATGAACAAACCGTGAATTGCAACAGGAAATGGGCACAATTAGAAGAACTGATGCATCGAACAACATAACAATACAGTGCACCAAGTTACCAGCGTACGTCTGTTCGTTTATATGAGCGCATTTCTTTAGTCAGAATCACGGCACGGACGGCTGCACGGATGAAGGCGAAGTTCGCACGCGCGACGGGCTGACCCTCTGTAACGATCACCGACAAAAGTCCAAACCGACAGCAATCTCGCCCACAGCGCGCGAGGCACCAGTTGGCATTTAGCCAAGCCAAGCGACGCCTTTCGCGATGTGGGAGAAACCCGATTTGCGAAGGTCGAGTCGTCGAAAACTCACCGCAACGTCCGAGCAACAGTGACTTTAGCATTTAGTTCGCCGTACAGAGCAACCGCAAAGTCCGCATGACGATGCGGGCTTGGCGATCGGGGGTCTCACGGTGCTCCCAACTGCCCCCCCCCCCCCCCCCCCACGCCGGCAAACCTGCTCGCTGTTGGGTGACACGTGGATAGGTTGCAATAATTCACACGGGCGGGACGGGGGCACCGCCCATCCACCTTTGTGACGAGTTAGCATCGACCCTACGATAATGAACGGATATTACTTTAATAAGGCTGGCACAATCATTCTTGGGAGCGTTCCCACACTCCTGACTGGATGCATGGTCAGAACACAGCCGGCATAGTCTGTAAACGCCATCCCAGATCCAGCTGGTTCTAGTTACCAACATCGCATGTAAGTGCCAGCATAACAGTCTTACGCAGTGGCGACATTCCACGCCACCCACCTCGGCCTTCACTCTATGAACTAAAACCAGAGTATATAAACATCTGCTTCAGTTACGTTCACAGTGAATAGACATGAGCCGGAGCCTTACGAGTCACCAGCGCTATCCAGTAGCTCTCCACAGCAGT